CACCCCCCAAGTTTATATACCAAGCACAGCATTCTATGGTACGGAATATCCCTTTGGCTAGTTCAGGTCAGCTGTTCTGGCCATGCTCCCTCCCAGCTTCTTGAGCACCTGCTTGCTGGCAGAGCATGAGAAACTGAAAAATCCTTAACTTAGGATAAGTGCTACTCAGCCACAAGTAATACATCACTGTGCTACCAACACTGTTCACACACTGAATCCAAAACACAGCATTGTACCAGCTACTAGGAAGAAAACTAACTCTATCCCAGCTGCAAGCAGGACAGCACCCCAGCAAATACATACTGTGGTCCAAGATGTCTCACTGCCATCATTGTCCTCCTTTCTAAACTCTCCTGTCCTTTAACAACAGTGATATGAAGCCCATTGATGTTCATCCCTTTCTAGGTTCAAGGCAAACAGCAGCTCCGAAGACTGTTTCCTTATGAGCTTACAGACATTTTAGTCTCCCCTTGAGAGCAATGTGTTCTTCCCACTACATTTTCTGCCCTGCTGTCACCTCCAGCCACCACCTCCAGCTACATTCTCTTCACAACTGAGGTGTGCTCCAGCACAATGCTCGGAGAAGCTAACAGGACACTGGCTGGCTCTGCTGTCTCTGTGTTGGATGACTCCTGGCACACTGCCCAAGCCTGGAAGCCCTGCTGTCCCTCCTTCAGCTGCCTGACCACCCCCTTAGTTTTTTGGGGAACTGAAAAGAGTTTTAGGAAAAAGTAGAACTGATCCCACCTGCAGAGTGCTGCTGCAAGGTGCTGGCCAGGCCTGGTGGACAGCACTGCCGACGCACAAACTCTGCACCACTTCTTGGGTCCCATCAGAGCTTTGTCGTCACAGTGCTACTTTAAATGTTCTGTTTACTTTCAATTTTAAACACTGCAGTGCACTATCTTTGACATTTTTCAACAGCCTCAGAAAACAAGAGTGCTTTCCCAGTAATTACACTATCTATAGGACTCCACTGAGCCCACTTTGTAAGGAATATTGCAAATAATAACATCGCATTTTTCAGTCACCCAAGGTGAAAGCATTTAGGAGTACTGAATTACTATCATTTTTTTTAAATAATAAAATGGAAGCTTATGATGATCCACCCTCAATGATACATGTTTACTAGTCATTAGTCACACCTCCTTCTCTGGTTAATAAATAAGCCAAGTACTTACTAAAACTGCAAGCTTTTCCCTCTCAGGATGCTAATTTTAGTACAGCGGTTTGTAGCTGGACACCAGTGCTGTACCCTGCTCTGCCAGCCTGCCTCGCCCATGCCTGATCACTGAAAACTCAGGGCTGGGAGTCTTCTACATGGGTTTGTGATAGTTTAAGACACTCCTCATCCCCAGCCCTCTGTTTCACCTTTCTGTCCAAAATAACTGCCCCTGCAGCAGCTGATTAAACAAACACCAGCCTGTTCCTCCACCACTGCAGTTCACAGCCCTCTGTAGCCAGCTAAAAATTGTCTCTTTCAGTGGTTTATGATAATATATGCTCGATGAAGCACTACAGCAGCTTGAGGCATTGAGACACAGCTGTCTTAAGCAGCAACAGGATCCACCAGAATTCATCTGTCAGCATAAAATAGCAAATACTTGGGTTCTGCGCACGTTGCCACACCATGGTACTACCCTGGACACCTCAGCAGCAGGAATCACTTGGTCACTGTAAGAATAGTCTCTGTTTGTCTGCACACAGCAAAGGATCAAAAGCTAGCCTGGATCCAGGTACCTTACAGCTGCACGGGAGAGAAAATATAATACATGGCAGAAGCCCCCACCTCTAGAAGAAAACCAGCTGGGGATAATGCACAGCCAGTGCCAGTGAGCAAGCTGGCACAAGGCCACAGAGTATCTTTTTTTCCAAAAAACAGAATGAACCTCAGCACTTTCCACAAATATTTGGCATTATAAGGAAAAAAACCCACGTTTTCCCAGATGCAGTAACCATGAGTGCAACATGCCAACGGGACAGGAGAAGTTTTGTGCTTCTGGCTGTTCACTCAGTTCCCTCCCTGATACTGGCTGCAGATGAGGGACACAATGAACAAGCGACAAACACAGCAGAGGAAAAAGCTGTACTTGTATTTTGACAGCAGCGACACAAACGCAAGGTTAACGATGACATGTACTGGGTTAGCAACTCCACAGCAGCCAAACTATTAAAAAGCCAGCCATGCTTTACTGCCATCACCAGTCTAAGTCAGAAAAATATGAGACAGCAGCATCACAGCTGTCAAGTTCTAACAGTCCTGCATTGCCCATGTTTTGAAGAAATATGTACATAAACTATACAGTTCTAATGCTATGACATATTCTCATCAAAATGAAAGCTACAGTCCTCTAATAGCTAAGCCTTTCTTAATATATTCCATGGTTAAACTACATTAATTCAGTGTTATCATAGGAAATTTAAACACGTAACAGGCATGAAATTCAAATTTGCAAATTTACAACTGTAAGTTAGCCCCCTTGCACATAATGAAGTTTCCTGTATTAGTGTGTATGCTCCTAGATTTACACTTTCGTGTTTATGACCAGTGTAGACAAATTACGGTTGCTGCAGGAAGCATAATTTTGAATTTCTTGGCTGTCATGTCTTAAAATTTGCAGTCACAATGTTCCATTATAAGTTTTCTACCCTTCCCTTCACCAAATCTTTTTTTTTTCTTAGTTATATATAGTAAATTCTATATATTCATACATGTATACACACACATAGATACATTTATGTGTAAACACACATACATATACCCAAAGGAGGAAATGGAGACATTTCAACAGACAACTTCTATAAAGTCTGATAAGCAGATATAGAGATATGTTCTGGGATTAAGCTCTTAAAACAAAAGCAAATAGACCAGTTTGGGATTGATGCACTGCTCTGTCCCTCATAGGGAACAGTGGAAGAGTGTTAGCCTCCAGTAGTCTCTGAGCTTCTCAGGGATGAACACACAATTATGACCAGCCCTTTCTGGATGGCAATCTGCACCCCCCAACAGAGCTCTTCATCTCTGCAGGACACATACAGGTATCATGTGTCCATGGGAACATCATGTGCTCCCTGGAATTCAGGCACTCGGCTTGTACATGGACCATTTTGAGTGGAAGAGGTTTTCTTCACGCATGGATGAGAATGCTCTATCCTTGCCTTGAATATCATGTGAGTGCCTTTGAGTGTCCCCAATGGCTTTCAAGCCATTAATTCATTTAATGTGGAAAGGGAAACAACCTTCACTACTTCTCACAGAAGCAAGTAAAAAGGAGGAGAGAGAAAGGGTTGCATCAGTTTTAAAATGAATTAAAGGGTGCATTTTTTTCACACTGTGCATACCATAACTAAGGATCTGTTACACGGAACCAAAAGGGACTATACAAATTCACAGTGGACAGATCCTTTATTTACTGTTAAACAGAGCGATCCAACTGCATTTTTAGTTCAGCAGACCTCTCTCAGCTTTAAGCAGTAAAAGTAGAGAAGGATCACGCTGTTTCCATATGCGCTCTGCTGTTCTACAAGCACTTGCAGTTTGCCGTCAAAGGAGACAGCATACTTGAGCTGGATGGTTAGGTATGGATTAATATGTCTTTTCTTTTTAAGAAAATTGCTTCTTTCATGGCATTCTGGTAATGACAATATTATCAAACTGAATCTCCTTTCCTTATCTAGTTTAGTGATTTCTCATCTT